ACTCAAATATGACGATAAGCACACCACGAATGAGATAGAAACATTGAGTGTGGTAGCAAAAGCTCATTTCCCAAATTGTTTTACGACAGTAAATGAACTTCTCGACCCCAATACACAGGATCGTGGTACTGGTGCACGTATGTGGGGTCAGGCAAGAAGAGTGATAACAAACAGTAGACTTGAATGGGCAGTGAATTCGTTCTCTCCTTTCAAGTCTGCTGGAATGGATGAGATCTTTCCAGCACTGCTGCAGAAGGGTCTCCCAGAAATAAGGCCATACCTTCTGGAACTTCTAAGAGGTAGCCTAGCACTGGGATATCTACCATGTAAGTGGAGGATATCCAAAGTGCGATACATTCCTAAACCAGGAAAGGAATCTTATGAAGATCCCAAGGCATTTAGGCCAATATGTCTGTCATCTTTCTTAATGAAGACATTGGAAAAGATACTGGACAGACATATTAGGGAACACATATTGGCTACTAGTCCAATACATTCAAAGCAATATGCCTACCAACCAGGAAAATCCTGTGAGGTGGCGCTTCACAACTTGGTAACAAGAATTGAGAAATCCTTAGAACAGAGTGAAATCATGATAGGCGTCTTCGTTGATATCGAGGGTGCCTTTGATAGAACTCCCTATAACATCATAAATGATGCGCTAAGGAAAAAAGATATAGACGCTATGACCTCCAGATGGATTGGGAGAATGCTGGAGGACAGAGTTCTAAAATCAGAAATAGGGCACAAGGAACTGTGGATTAAACCCTGTGGGGGATGTCCTCAGGGAGGTGTGCTCTCTCCATTACTGTGGTGTTTTGTGGCTGACTCATTATTGGAAGCCTTAAACACTGCAGGCATTTATGCTCAGGGATATGCTGACGATATTGCCATCCTCATAGGAGGGAGGCATCAGAGTGTCCTCTCTGATATCCTCAGTACAGTGTTCAATATTCTTAGGAATTGGTGCAGGATTAAAGGACTAAGCATCAACCCTAGGAAAATCAATGTGTGTATCTTCACCAAGAAGAAGAAGGTGGCTATTAAAATGCCGGAAATCAATGGTATACAAGTGACACTGAGTAAGGAAGTAAAGCACCTTGGAGTCACTTTGGACCATAAACTGACATGGACTAAACACGTTCAAAACGTGACAAGTAAAGCCCTCAAATGCCTATGGGCCTGTAAAAGAGCGATAGGAAAGAATTGGGGGCTAAAACCAAAAATGGTATACTGGCTGTACACAACAACAGTCAGACCTATCATACTTTACTCAGCTTTGCTATGGTGGCACAAAGCAAAGACTGTAGCCAATGTATCCTTATTAGGAAAGATCCAAAGGCTTGCTTGTATAATGATAACAGGCGCAATGAGCACGACACCGACGGCTGCTATGGAGGTGATGCTTGGCATGCCCCCGCTGCAGCTGGAGGTGGAGGCTCGGGCAACAGTTACACTGTACAGGATAAGCAAGTCAACTTACTGCTCAACAGTCCCCTGTCAGGGAGGACACACAACACTGCTGAACAGGATTGGAAGTGAAAGAGTGCTAGCTATGCACTCTGACACTCTAATCCGAGAACATCAGGACCGGAAATATAAGGTTGAGATAGATAGCAGCAGAATTCATAAACCAAATAGTGGAATAAATTGCTACACAGATGGCTCTCTAACAGCCTTCGGCTCTGGAGCAGGCATCTATCGCAAAGATAAAAAAGAAAAAATTTCTATACCACTTGGCAGGTATGCTTCAGTGTTTCAATCCGAGATACTGGCAATCTGCCATTGTGTACAAAACCTACTGCAAACCAATGTGACTGAGAAAAGGATCACCATCTTTACTGACAGTCAGGCAGCAATAGGTGCTCTTGACAATTATTATGTTTATTCAAAGGTCGTTAAGGAATGCAATAGAGCACTTAACGAGCTAACTGAGCACAACAGAGTTGCAGTGGAGTGGGTGCCAGGCCATTCTGGCATACCGGGCAACGAAATGGCTGATGAGCAAGCCAGGTTGGGCTCAGATACTATTCCTATAACTCCCGAGCCTGTCTGTGGAATCAGCCTTAGTACTGCCAAGGGCAGGATCAGGGAGATCTATGGGAACAAATTTAGGAATTACTGGACCGACAAGAAACAGAGACACTCGAAGCTGTTCCTTAAAGGCCCATGTAAAAAAAGGAGTGAACAGCTACTGAACATGGACAGAGCAGCTCTCAAAAAACTCACAGCGATCTACACAGGTCACTGTAAGTTAAATAATCATATGTTCAATCTCCGAGTAATGACGAATCCGATATGCAGATTCTGTCAGGAGGAGAATGAAACAGCTTTTCACATCATATGCAGATGTGACAAGTTTATAAGGCTGAGACTGGCGTTATTTGGGGAGGAACAGATGGATCTCCCCAGTAGATTTGAGTCGGTTAACCCAACCAGCCTACTGAGATACGCGGAAGCGACAGGACTAACGTTTTGAATAAGACGACCTAGCGAATATTGGCGCACAATGGACCCAAAGGGGTCGACGTGCTTAAAGCCAAAAAAAAAAAAAAAAAAAAAAAAAAAAAAAAAAAAAAAAAAAAATAGTCAATGACGCTATTTTCATTTTGTTTCGTGGCAGAGAAGATAATTTTGTGCACTGACTTGTAAGGAAAATACAAATTCCCAATAAGCATGTTTTTGTCCACACTGAACCCGATCAGTCGCTGACCACTATCATTCTTCAATCTCTCGCCTCCATGCGAACCCATCACACCACCATGTGCTCTCGCGTAGTCATTGCCTGTTCGTGCGTTGAGGTCTCCCATAATGAGGATACTCCTATTACTATTTTTATTTTTGGTCACCAACCGTTCTAGGTTTTGCATAAAACCGTTCCTTATCTAGTAAGTATGCGCAAATTAATATTAACTGCTAGGATGCGTGAGTTCACTGGATCCCATTCCTCCACTCTTCCGAACAGGTCATCCTTCATTATTATGGCGACTCCCTCTGCAGCCCTATTTCCTGGAGGGACTCCCAAATATATCAACCTATGACCGCCATCCATCGTCATCACTCCAGCTCCCTTCCTCTCCCTTCCTCCGTACCTCAATGATTCCCAGAATATCCAACCTGTACGTCTTTATCTCCTCGATGATTTCTGCTTTTTTTTTCCTTTTGTATTATAAACATTTATATATAGATATATTACATTGGTGTATCCACAAGCAGTACTGGAATTTAATGAAATTGATATGAGTTCATTAAGGTACCAACCCACAATCCCTGAAAATTTCATCAGAATTGGACAAACGATTGTAAGTTAAATGGATTTGACTACAGACAAGGGACGATCATGGTGACCAAGCCTGTTAAGAGCATTGACCGCTTTAACATTCTTGAATCTAATGGTTGAAATTTAGTTTGTGGTAGACTCTTGATGTCCTCTTTATTTGTTGATGTCCAAAACATGAAATTTGAGGGGAAATTTTCAATTAAAAGTACAAACACTTTTCACCTAACATTGGTAATCATAGAGCAATAAGAAACTTATAAGCAGGAGGTTGGAGTGGCCGAGCAGGCAAAGCATTGTGCATTGTCCAGCAACCTGATAACCAAAGTTAAAGATGAAAAAATAATAACGATTCCAAATCCCTGTGCCCAGTGGGACATTTAACTTGGCATAATTCCCTCACTCGCTCCCCCGGCCTGGGAAAAAACCTGAGTAGCCTAAAATATAAAGAAGAGGAGAACAAAAAAAAATAATCTTGTAAGCAGTTTAAATTTACTCAAAATTCCTGTTTTTTACTCCAGTATTTTTTAAAGAAATATTAGCACTTTTTTGTATCTCACAACATGCCCATTAAATTTCATCAAATAGGTTTAGTAGTTTAAGAGTTCAAGGATTCTTTAGAAACATGAGTGATTGACAATAACAAAACTTTTTTTTAAATAACAATTTATGGATGAGGGGACTCTAATCACTGGACAACTAAAAAAATGTTATTTTAAATGAGGGTCATATTTCCTATATCTTAGAGGTGACCAAGATATTATAAAACTAATGAAGTAAAAATAATAGTTCAATCACAATATGGCCAACAGTACATAAATCTTGAACAGAAAAATTATTTTATGATAATTCAGTTAGTAAATATGGACAACTTTTATCATCTCAAAGATTAACTTAATAGTGTAAGGTGGGGTAGTATCCCTAACCATTGAACAAAACTCAATCAAATGACAGATTACATCATACTCCTAAAAAAATGTTATTAATATTTTGAATAAATTCCATTCATTATGAGAACAACTAAGTAACTACTTGAAAAAGAGGGATTAATTTGGTTCAGGAACCAGGGTTACGAGAAACAATTGGCAAGTAACCACACAAACATTAGGCAGCAATTAATTAGGAAGTCACCAAAAATTTCAATGTTAAAGAAATTTAGAAACATCTTTTCTTTTTCTTTTTTTTTGTATTAAAAATTTTTATGAATTTTTTATACAATTAAATATACCCTGTGAAGGAGGAAACACTTTTTATGTAAGAATATATGCAATCAGATAATAATATTTACATCTACCACTGAGTCAGTAATTTAATAAAAAAAAATACACTGCAACATTTTAACAATTATTTGAGCTATAAAAGGGAAAACCTATTATAACATCCTTTCCTTACCTTTAATGGGAGTAAATAAGGGCGGATTTATGCCCAAATAAACAAATTGACTACTTGAATTTCAAAGGTCCATTCATTTGACATAGCTCTGAAACTAACAGGAAAATGATAAATTGTAAACATGTTTGAAAATATTTAGCCATTCACAGAAGCATGTGAACATGACATTCATAACATCAAATCCACTGTTACCTGGCCATCTGTAGAACATAGACTAAATAAATAACTTCCAGTAGTCCTTAGTATAATCAATTGCTTGTAGAGGTTTGTTTAGATAATAAATAGTCTTCAAAGTATTACTTATAAAACTAAAACAAAAAATATCACTCACCTGTCTTGCTCGCTGTGGCAGATTCTCAGCTGAAAAAGTAAACCTCTGGGCTTTCTGACCCAACAGTGGAGCGCCTCTGGCAGCAGAATAAATCGCCGAAGACGACGGAGCTCTGGACAGCCATGTCCGGTATTCATCTGCAGTAAATACACTTGGTGAAGACACAAGTCGACCTGTACCCATATAATATTTTTAAATACAAATAAATCAATCAAAAATGGTTTTAACTACTTCTGTATACTTAGGAAATTATGACTCCTAAGGAGCAACAGTTGAGCAACCAAAGCAACCAGCAAAATGGTTGATTTCAGCAGCGGACATAAGCACTGGATGAATGAGATATTAACGAATGAGGAAGGGTGGCACAATAAAAGGACCCAATTGGAAAGATTAAAGAAATTCCTTTCAGTGAGAATTGAAATCCAGTCGGTCTAATTCAGTTTTTTTAAATTTTATAGAGACATATAAATCTCAGCCAAGAAGAAATAATCATGAACAAGAAAAAGGCAAATGTCTCAACTCTAGAATAAGTTTAAAAACCTGCAGGCCAAGAATTCTAGACTGGTCCAAACAAATGGTGGTGGTCCAATCATAAAGTTATAAATCCCTTAACAAAGAAGTTGAAATTGAGCGAACGGGACCCTGAGACAAACATTAACTGATGAAACGTCAACTACTTTTGACAAGCAATTGATGAGTAAATTACCTCTATGCTTCCTGGTTAGAGACATTTCTGGGGCAGATAACGCTCCATCATCTTCTTGATCTAGACCTGAGACTCCGGAGCCCAGGAGAGAGCTTTCTCGATCTAGCCTCAGTGTAGATCCCCTTGAAACCAGTGTAATATTATTATCACTTGTTTTTACATATTTTAAAATATATTGAAACAAAGCAATGTCATGATAATTCAATTTTGGATGGTTCCCTTAGGAGATAATTTCTTTTTCAATGTTTTCTTTATGTAAGTATACATAGTAAAAAGCAATTCGATAGTGAACCATTAAATAAACTTGTATTGGGATTGGTCCGTCATTAGGCACAAACCAATCCCCATTTTACAAACCGAAAAAATGTTTTTCCTTCGTTAAATACAATCAGTTAAAATCAAACAAAAGTGGAACCAAAATTTTTTGTATGATTTTATTAGTAATCCATCTAATACCACATAAACTGAATTATTGTGTTTAAACCAGATTTAAATATTAAAATCAATAGAATATTTATAAGTTAAAATGCTAAAAAAGAAACTTAATATTCAAAATTAAAATTGTAATCCTGGACTTAACAAACTTTAAAATAATTAAGTTTGAAATTAATTTTTTCTTTACCTATGAGTTGGCAGAGTTGGAATATGAGTCCTAGGTTGCCTTGTATCTCTTGGAAGAGAATTGGAACGCAATGATGATATTGGACCAGTGTGGGTAGTTTCTAATCCAGTTCCTAGTGTACCTAATGCCGAAGATCCTGAAAAAATAAAATTACATGTTCCAAATGAAAATCAATCAATAAATTACATCAATTTTTACTAAAGATGAAAAATTCTGACATTCACTTGGTTAGTTTTTTTTAGCAAGAGAAAGAGAAAAATTTTGTATATGTTCTAAGGAAATTAAGCAGAATTAAATAATCCATTGTAGCAACATTTAAAAACAAAAAAATGAATACTACTAGCCTGCACTATGTTGCCGATAATAATAATAAGGTCGAGTTGATGCTTCAGTATCAGATGAATAATCAACTGAGCGCTGTCTTCTATTGAGTGTTCCATAAGTAGAGCTGGGACTACGATATGAGCTCCGATAACTTGGAGGACCACCAGTAAGAGCTGAATCTGAAAAATAAATCCCATTTTTTTAATTATCTTTTAACATAAGTACTGGTTATAAAAACAAGGAATAGTTAACAAATATTAATTTTTCTTTATTTTATATACAATAAAAATATGTCTCATCACATGACTTTCTTCTCTGTTTCTTTTTATTAATTTATATATTTTAGTTATTTTTAGCTTAATAAACAATTGAATCTAATATTGAAGCAATATTTCAGAATATCTGTTTTTAAATTATTTGAAAAACTTAATATGAATACGAAATCTAATATGCCATATCACTGATGAGTCTTAAGCCAGAACAGAGAAAATCCAGAGGAGCTATGAATATTTTAGTGAACAACATGAAAAAGTCATAGAAGACATAAAATTAAGTAAAAAAATTATATTTTTTTATTTCAAAACAAATTCGAATTTAACAGTTTTAGAGGAGCCAAAATGTGAATCTGAACCGTTTTTTCATGACAAAATATACTTTGCCTACTTTATTGGACGGCATTTTTGGTTTTTATAATTTATTATACATTAAAATTTGTTTAATAAAATGAGTAACATATTTTCTTTATTTTACAGAAAACAATAAATTGATTGATATATAGCTTAGAAATCCAAGCAGGCCAGAGTCAGAAAACAATAATATAAAAACATAATTTTTTTTTCTTGGCTCCTAGGGCGCATTGGCAAGAATCGCAGGCCATGCGTCTAATATTTTCAACCTGGACCTAGTTACTGCATGTCTTCAACCTCACCTTGTTAGATAATATATGATTAATCAGTTCAAAATTAGTTCTTTGGTTCAACTCAGGGATAGTGAGTCCTTTGAAAGGTACACTCGAAGTCTGTGAAGTGAGAACTGTCCTTAAAATAATTTAAAAAAAAAACATTAATTAATCATGATATGATTGGAGATCATACCAAGTTATAACTTTGGTCATGTAACAGTATCTCCAGGAGGCGGTGTGGCAGAGTGGGCTAACATGTGTACAAAACACGTTTTGCCTGGCAATCTGATAAGCCAAAGTTTTCGTGATAAAATAATTATAAGTTTGCATCCTGGTGCCGAAGAGGAAAGGGCTTTAAACTCCGGCATTAATCCTCTGCACTCTCCCCTTGCCTGGTAAAAACCCTATATAGCCAATGAATAATAAAGGCAAGAAAGGTGAGAAAAAAAAAGAAACAGTTACTGAATATAATACCCTTATTGAGTTGTAGAACATATATTTTTTATTCCTATTTTTAATGAAAGTATGCTATAACTTACAGCTGTCCATATATTCAACCCGTGGCAGATGTTGATCTGATCCAGAACGAGGCATAACCTTTGGACGATTACTACCTCCACCAGCATAATAGGACAGAAGGCTCGATGAAGTTGTTGCAGACATACGGCGGGGTGTGGTATTACTACCACCAGGATAGAAACTATGTACCTATATTAAAAAAAAAATTAACAGTATAATGTGTTTTAAATTAAAAGATATATTTTTATTAATTCTATTCAATATAAGTTTTATATAAAGTTAATAAAATATGTTTCCATATTGTTCAGATATATATTTATAAACATAATTTACCTTTTCAGCTAGAGATTCAAGTGTTTTAGGATATGTTTTATCATAGGTAGGCTGATAATGATGGGCTTTAGGTTGTTCAGTGACGACAGGCGGAGGAGGGGGCTGATACAGCCAACTACTATGATCAACCTGAAACCATGTCATTACAATACATAGCAGAATCCAAGCACAACTTGAGGTAAACATCTATCTATCCTGGGCTAGAAATCAAAATTTAAATCACATTTTTAATCAGTTTAATTATGACTGGTGTCTTTATTTTCAAATTTTTTCCTTTATTTCGAAACAAGAACTTATTTTCATGCAACTTATCAAGATTTTATGGAACTTTTTTTATGAAAGTTCTGTTAAAACAATTCATTGTGCTGAAGCCGATCTAAAAAATGGTAAGTGAGCAGTATATTGTAAATTGCTCAAACAAATGAAATATACAAATCAGGTAATTCATTTAAGATAAACTATATCTGTATATAACTTAATTTTAAGAACTTAAATAAATAAAAGTTAAACTTTTTCTGTATACCAAGAAATTTATAACAAATTAGTTCCTTTGAACTTTTATTTTAAAAACTTTTTCCTCAAAAGTTTCACTGAAACTATTAAAATGAAACTTTTTAAAAAATTACCTTAAACATTTCAACTTTTACTATCTGGTCCTATCACATGCTACATCAACATCATAAAAAAAATAGTATAAAGTTATTTCATTATGGCACTATAAAACAATTTTTTTGAGGAATGCTCTCAAAAATAGTTAGAGAGGTTATAGACCCATTGCCGGATTAAATCACTACACATAGAGATACCCAATAATCCCTCTAAGTTAAAGATGGTTGGAATATTTCAAAGTTGTACAAAGCTTAATTAATTAGTGCTTAAGTTGGAAAAGATAATAGTCATGGCACGAACATTCGGAAACAGCCACAATGACATAAACTTGAAAATTAGTTAATAAATTTCAATGAATTAAAGAATTTTATTAATGTCAGTACTCTCATTCTACCCAAGGGTATATAGTGAGTCATTGATAGGCTTATAGTCAATCAGATATAGCATATTTTGATAAGTTTTACGCTTAATTCAGACCTCTATAATATATGAACATACAGCAAATATTGAGTCTAATTATCACCTTGCAATACCACAACTAAAGTCAAGAGTCTCCATGGAAAAATTACTTCAATAATTGAATGTTGAACAAGGTCAAGCTATCCCAATGGATCCCAATCCTCAAAGAACACAGACCCAAATGAGGACAAGATCTGTCATGACATCAAGAAGCTTAGGAACCATAATGTGCCAGCAATTGATAACTTAACCACTCAAATCTTTAAAAAAAAGAAATAGTAAAAACTTTGTTAACACCATAGGAAACCTTTTATTTCTTGGTGAAATAAGTGGAGGTTGGAATTTCTGGGTGAAATTCCAACCTCAAGGAAGAACCTCCATTCCAGTGAAATTCCAACATCTTCTGCCCAATTCACCAGAAGAGAAAAACAATTGATTGCAGAACTATTGAGGTACACCTTTATTGTTTAATGCATTAAAAATACTTTTTAAATATTCTACAACTTCTAATGTATATAAAAGTAGAAGAATATCAAAGAGGATTCCTTTAAGGAAAATGAAAGGTGAATCAGATTTTCGCATTTGGAATCATTCAGAAAAGCAAAAAATAATACACTATTTTCCTGATCCTACACAACACCTGTTTATGAATTTCTGGGCTGCCTATGGGGTACAATGTGAGCCTCTCTATCAGGCTATGAAAGGACTCAACATTTCAGAGAAACTGATCTGATTGGTTAAATCCACCATGGCGTTATCAATGTATGTGGTGGGTGTTCAGGGTGATGTGAACACTGTAATGTAAGGAGTAAGACAGAGAGAAACAATACCTTGTAATATTTTTGGGAAACGCATAGATCCAGAAAACAGGCAATGTTTAATAGAAAGGTCCATTTCTTAGGATACTGACTTTATGTATATAACCCACAATGAAGCCTCAAATGAAATTGAGAGGAGAAAAGTCATTGTTAACCAACTTTTTTTCAGACTTGGAATACATATAAGAAGTAAATATCTGTCAAGAATGACCAAATTATGGCTTTATATATAAGATTTTGAGAAGAACAGTCCCAAAATATGGCTGAGAGTCATAGTTGATACCACAGCCAATATCACAGACAGAACAAAGTCTTGCTTTCGAAAGCATTCTAGAAGATCTTAGAGATCAGTGGTAGGAAAATAGTTGCCTAAAACATGCAGATTGACAAAAGTTATTAGAGATTTTTTTTTTCTGTTGGCATTATAGATTATTATTATAGACTGTATAGATCTTTTGCCACCTTAACGAACCTGCTCCATCTCTGCCTGTCTTGGGATATTTTTTTCCAGTTATCTGCATGCAGCTTTATTGCATCTTTGTTGATTCTATCTGTCCATCTGCTTTTTGGACTTCGACGTGGTCTTTTGCCTTCTATTGAGGCATTCATTGTTATGTAGAGGCTTCTAAATAGTTGGGGTTGTACTATTCGTTCTAAAGGTTTGGAAAGGTGAGATAACAGGAAAATTGGACGGAAATCATTAGGGGTTGTGGGATTAGAGATTTTGTTCAGTGGACAAACAAGGGCGATTTTCCAGGTGCAGAGAAAAGTGGATGGAAGTGAGGATTTAATTAATTTAACTGGAATATTATCTGGTAGGAAATCTTTGGTTTGGGATTTACAAATGGATTTAAGGAGGTTGTCTGGGGTAATATGCGAAAAGAAAAAATGATTGGGATTAAAGGGGGATATATGAGGGGTGGAGCTGGTACTTGGACAGAGGGATCAGATGAACAGGAGACAAAATGAGAGTTTAGTATGTCAGCTGAAATAGAGGTAGTCTGGGTTTGGGTGGATTTGTCTAAGGATAGTTTACGCAGGATTGCCCACATAGCTTTGGAGTTTGGAGTGCTGGATAAGGATTGTTGGTAGTAGTGGGGGGATTTGTCACGGGGTATCACGAATTGCGTACTATTTTGAAGCAGCGTGAAATTTGTGTAGTCTTCGGGGAGTCGAGTTCGCTTAAATCTTCGTATTGCTGCGTCTCATCGTTTGATACAATTTTTTATTGCAGGCATCAACCAAGGGGCTGGGGATTACTTGATTGTCCTGACTTTAAGAGGAGCGTGACATGCTAGGATAATGTGCAGCTGATTGGTTAAGGTTTCTATCATAAAATAAAATCAATGGAGTTAGAAGAGTATATGGATTTCCATTGGATTGCGTCAAGATCAGGCGTCAAAGTTTCGGATGATAGGAAATTAAGATTTCTGAAAGATATAGATTGGGGACAGAATAGAGGAACAGGAAGGTTATAGGAGACCTGTAAGAGATCATGAGCAGACAAAAAAAGGAACAGGGTGCTGTGATGAGGCGAGGAGTTTATCAGAAGAGTCAATAATGCAAAGATCGTTCCAAGAGTCGGAGTATTGGGTGTGATGGGTAGAGTTGTACGGGACTATATACAGATTAAGAAAGTAGAGGAGGTTTGATAAATAGGCTTGGTCAGAGGAAGGAAATAATAGGTTGGTATTGAAATCTCCGAAAAGAGCAATATTAGAATAGAAAGGGCTCATTTCGTAGAGGATGGTCTTGAGTGTTTCATCAAAGGGGATTCTAGGAGGTTGGTAGATCACACCAATATGTTATATAAATATGTTGGCACCTTAAGAATTCACCAATCTATCCCTTGGCTTTAACTCAGAAATCTCTAGAGGGGCAGGATGGCCGAATGGGCTAAAGTGTGTGCACAGCATCGCAAGTTGCCTGGCAACCAGATAACAGATTTGAGAAGATTAAAAAGTACGAGTTCGCCTCCCATTGCCAAAGGGGATTTTGAATTCCCCGCCCTCATCCCGCGACCCGGGAAAATCCCGTATAGCCTAAAAGGCGAGGTATGGAAGAACAGAAAAAAAAACAACTCAGAAATCTCCAATCTTTTTCTACTTGAGGGCACATTTATAGTGTATTAATCAAGGGCCAGGCAGAAATTTGTTTTGATTTTTTTCTTAGCTCTTTTATTACATTGGGAAATAATGAAAATGTTTCGGGCTCAAAAATAGTCTGTTCGCAAGTATTTCCATCTGCTGAATTAAAAAATCATCATAAAAATGATAAATATGTAGCTCTTGCTTTGGAGATAAAGTGACATTTCATTTTTTAGAGTCAACATTTTCCATTTGGAGCAATTTTTTTTTTAGAGTAGGCACACCTGTCAAATAACAAAACACAAATACTCTTCAGCTGTTTGTAAGTCATAAACATAGTTAATAATGCTGTGACTGTGAGTTTCATGTAGTTTCTGCTGTAATTAATGCAGAATTTCTGGTTTGAGAGTGCTTTTTTTAGTTTAAAATTCATAAAAATGCCACGAAAATGTGTAAATATGGTGAATAAATTTTGTTATATTTGAAGATGATAAAGATGATAAACCGCACAGACTGAGTCAAGTGGAATTGAGTGATCTCATTAGAGACCATCGCCTGTAAAAGGAGAAGGCGGAAATTCTTGGGTCTCGACTACAGCAATGGAATCTTCTCGAAAGTGATGTCAAAATCTCACAGTACAGAAAACGTCACAAGGAACTGCTTCCCTTTTTTGAGAAGAAAAATAATCATGTTGTTTGCTACAACATTAATGGCTTGCTGAAATCTTTGAATTTGAATCATGATCCAACTGAATCTGATTGCCATAGTCTTAGGAATGCAACTGGGGTACACACAACGTTGCTGCTTCTTATGTATGTAGGGCAATAGAGATAGGAAATTGCATTATATTAAAGGAGACTGCCCAGCAAAAAATTTTAACCCTAGCAGGAAAAATGTGACTGGCAAGCCTCTCGTGGACCCAAAATATATTCTACTTCCACCCCTGCATATCAAGCTGGGTTCGATGAGAAATGTTGTCACAAGTATGAACCAAGAAGGACGGCCTTTAAGTACATAAGAGAGAAATTTCCGAAAATAAGTGATGCAAAAGGTATTTTTGTCAGGCCACAAATTCGAGTACTTGTGAAGGATCCTGTATTTGACCAAAAGAGATGACAAAGAGATGAAAAAAGAGAGATGAAAAACAGATGACAACTACACGCATTTGGTGCTCCTACAAAAGTACCATAACCTTGGATGCAACATTTCCCTTAAAATCCATTTTCTCCACTCCCAGCTTGACTTTTCCCTCCTAGTTGTGGAGCTGTTAGTGATGAATATGGAGAAAAATTCAATCAGGACATTTCTGTAATGTAACAAAGAAATCAGAGCCATTGGAATGAAGCAATACTTGTGGATTACTGTTAGTCTTTGTGTAGGAATGCTCCGGAACTCCCTTACAAGAGGCAAGCTAAAAGACGATGATCTCATGAAGTCACCACATAATCTCTTCAGACACGACCATCTGCGAGGTGTTCTTCCAGTAATTTAGAACTCTTAGAATGTAACTACCATTTTGAAAAATCATATACACTTTCAATGTTGTTAGCATATATATAGTCAATATGTATCTTTTTCTCTTAACCCGTTAATATGAAATACTTCCACCTAGTGCATATCACAGAAACTAGAGCTAAGAAAAATTTTTCATTGTCATATTCGTTTTTCTCAACAAAATTAGTAAGAATTGACTCATGAAGTGCAGGAAACATTAAAAAAAAATTGTTTTGCTGCCCAGTGCTATTATTAATATTAAAAAAGAATAATTTATGTTCTTATATAAAATAAATAATGACACACTAATACAATAAAAAAAAAATATATATATATATAAAATACAAACGCTGAAAATATAAATCTTGCATTTCACTAGCTATTGCTTCATATATGTTGAATCCAAAAATTTAATTTAAAAAAATCCATCTATAGCCATAGCTTTTCTCTAAGACTATTTTAATGTGAATAATATTTTTAAGATTTGCCACCTAAGTCACAATAATGATTGCTAAAGTTAGAATGGGTTTAGAAAGTCAACATTATCATCCACCGTTTCGACCCACTTTGCAGGTCGTCTTCAGGGCGTAAGATGTGGCACTGCGGGAGGCAGTTGTCCAACTGCCTCCCGCAGTGCCACATCTTACGCCCTGAAGACGACCTGCAAAGTGGGTCGAAACGTCGGCAAAAATTAAAATTATTTATATATTTTAATTTTTTTATTTATTTGACCGCACCCTCGACTAACTCCTTCTCATATCATATCAACGGTCAACCATCTCTACATCATTATCATCCACCATTTTATTTCGAGAAAATGATCACAATGTTGTGCATAATTTAGACATTTTAAGATTACATTTAAAAAAATAATCTGAAAAAAATAAAATAAGAGATAGCTATATGAACTTATAACTAGTTATAATAATTAACAAAGTTTTTTTTTAATAAATTTTCCAATTTTTTCCTCATGTAATTAAAACAAATCAAAGAACTGATATTTTAAAACTAACTCTATTATTTTTTTCTTTTTAAGTAAATCCGACAGAAAAACCATTTGTAGCTTTAAACACGTTCTATGACACTAGTCAATAATAATAATAATATAAATACAATGAGTAATAGAAATTAATTATTATACATAACTTATCTTGTATTTATACACATAATAATTATGTAAAGTAAAAATATAAATATAATAACATACAATCAATTATAATGATATAATATTTTGAAATAATATCAATAACTAAACAAAATTATATAGAGAATAGAGCAACTAACCGTGTGAGAATGAGCTGTCGGTGGAGGCTGGTACTGGTACTGAGAAGTTGAACTCCTAAGGTCACCATTTGACACCCCTCTACCCTCTAATCCAAGGGCAAGGTGTGACCTCGATGCATGGAGTCGTCCCGAGGAACTTGACTCAGATTGGGTTCCAGTGGGTCTTGGGCTAGGAGATGCATCTCGGCTGCAGATAAAAATCATGAGATCTGTTAGTTAAATATATATATTATGATATTCTTTTCAGAAATTGAGATGATTTAAATTATTTTTAAAAATATTCCTTTTGGTTTTTCAGACAAATAGAAAATTTTTAAAATAAAATTAATTTAATCTATAATATTTTTGTCATGCAAAGTATAATCTGAACCTGCCCTGCCTTTCTAAGTTGACTAACTTCATAACAACAACATTTTCAGAACTACTGAACATTACTTACACTTATTTGAGCTACTGTTTAATCATCTTTCATTGTTTTCCGAAACACCCTAATTCTTTTCCATTGGTGGATACCCACAAAACAATAATCACTTGTTACCAAGTTCAATGCCAGACAAAAAAATTGTTTTACACAATAGATGGAAACATTTGTTAGTGAATTAACTCTACTAGTAATGGAGGGAGTAGTGGAATATCTCAATGGATAGGAAACTGACTTCCAAAGTTATGGATAAGGTCATTTGTAAAAAAATGGTTTTGAAGCATACAATCTATGATTTAATGCAAAATGACATTGTAAATATCATCTTGCTCTGATTAGGAGAGAAATTAGAAAGAGAAATTAAATCAATCTTATTACGGTAACCAGATTCTAAAGTGATGTTTTAATATCTAATTTCATGTTCAAAATAGGGAAAACATTTTTAAAAATGGCATAATTCCAATAAACTCAACAAATAGTTTTATGGTATTCCACAAATTGCTTTCCTTTTTTATAGAGAAAACAATAGAGAAAAAGCATAAATGTGAGCAGTTCAAGTATTATATGCATCTGTTTTATAACATGAAGCTATACAAACGGGTGGTGATTTCCATAACCGAGAAGAACCATCTTATCATGATCAGTTTAATCTGTAATCGATGTAAAATATTGTGAAACAGTGGGTAAAGTAGACAGGAGTTAACAAGCTGTTGAGCTGCTCTTTCTCAGTAATCAAAGATTAAGATTGCTTTGTTTTACTCTTATGATCCTTTTTGTTACAGTTAAATAGATCTAATTAATTTTCTACACTAGTGCATGATTTATTTCCCTTGTATTTCTATCTTTTTCTGGAGTGTTCTTAGTTATATTAAGTAAGCACCTATTTTTCTATATTGTTATTTCCTAAGCAGAACAATATTCTGCTGCCAAACTCGTTTATTTTATAATTTAATATATCCCTTTTTTTTTAATTTAACTTACCTGATTATTGCAGTGAATTACATTTCAATGAGTTATAAAAGATAAAAATTCAGGTAATAATATTGATGAGATTCATGACTTTAGAGAACTTATGTAGAAAAAAGTCAGGTAAAAAGCAAAATGCATGTTGATAGAAGGACGATTATACAAAAATTTGAAATAATGCTCATACAGTATACCATTTTAGAACATTTACAACAATCAGTAAATATTATACAAACAAAATAGATTAAAATAATTAATAATACTTTACCAATGCTTTTGGTTGTCTTATATTAAGTGTACAATTAAGCCTTTTTTTTCAGATTCAATAATAAATGGCAAAGCATTCAATCAGTAAAGTGCCATATTCAAGCCAAAATTTCAAAATAAGACTACACAATGACAGCTATATTTGTTCAGCACATGCAAAAGAGAACTTATGTGTAGAAAGTTGTAATGATACATATTAATTAAACATGCAGAGTTATATATTTTAAAAAGAAAAGAAACATAATACTGATTTTTACTTTTTACTATTTTTAATAATGATCTATGTAACAAAAAAAAATCACAAAGGTTCATTCTGAAATTTGAGGTTTTACATTTCATTATATGTTATTTGAATAAAATTCAAATTTTAAATTTAAAAAAAAATCTATCTTTTAATGAGAACAATATTTTTTAAGATACGCCACCAAAGACATTGGTTAACCCAAAATGGTGACAGGTTATGGGTTTCATATGGCCATATCTCGGCTATAAATGAGAATAAAAGATTAAAATACAGGAATAATTGTTAATATATATATTTTTTTTTCAATCATTATACCACAAAAACAAAAAACAAAAAAAATTGTGTAGTAATTTTCAGTATTATATAGGTACTAACTTACAAACTTATAACATTCATTAAATTATATTATGAGATAGGGAAAGGTCATGGTTTTCAAGTGTATACAAGAATTAAACAAAATGTAACAGAAAATAAGCATGCCTAACTCAACTAAATAATCAGGAGATAGACCTAAAATCAAACTTTTTTTTTATATATACATTCTTTTAATTTAATAAATTATTAACAGTGAGAGAGAAAGTCACTTAAAACAATAAATTTTATTCAGTTGAATAAGCTATATTCAAACTTATAAGGAAATAAGGAAAAATAAAAAAATAAAATAAAAACTTACGCTCAAAATAGCGCCTTGAGGAAGGAGCAAATGGATGGATAAAAAAACCTTGAAATAAAAATAAAAACATAAGCTGCTAGTTTCCAAAAATATCTAACTTAATAGATAAAAAATTATATTACAAGACTAAATCAATGACTAACATTATATGCTTATAATAAATAAATAAAATGCATTTACTACATTTAAAGCAAATTTCATTCCTCTACGCTGAACAAAATCTAAACATAGAAACATTAATAGTAAGGCAGGGATAAGCTTATGAAATTTAAAATAAAAATTAAGAATAATTTATCAAAATGCTCGCTCATTCACAATGCATCTTCAATCAAAAATCATTACTTCATGAGGGGAAAAAAAATAAATAAAATAAAGCAGTTCCACCGAATAAAGTAAATTTTCTCATAAAAACTTTAATATTTTTTATAAATTAAATATAAATTTATCCAACAGAATACAAATCAAATGATAAGAGTTAACTCAATTACATGAATATGACAATCATAAAAAACAAATTAAACACTTCAAAATATAAAATGGATTGAATAAAGTAGTGCTATTACATTTAGCCAAATGAAACCAATTTGAAATACTTGTAAAATAAAATATTAAAAATATAGTTGTTAACTAAGCTATCTATCACAGTTAAAAATTAACACATATATTAAGAATGATGTATCGACGAAACACTTTCTAATTAATTGACAGCTCATACCTCTTCTATAGTTTCTGATAGTTATGGATGAGGCTAATTGTAATTCCTCAATAGTTCAGGAAATCAACTCTTCCAAGTTTTGAGACCTTTCTCAAGTTTTATAAATACTTCCTACAAGATATCCTGTTTTTCTATAGCCTGCAGCTGGGTTCATTTTTTTTATTTTCATTATTTTATGAAAAGTTTTCACATCAACAAATGTGTTATTGTTCATGGATTCAAAGAGCTAACAAAGCCCATTCTGCATTAAGCCTGGTGTTCAAATTCCATATTTTAAGGTGTTTAAAAACTTAATTGCAAGTATTCTAATTAAACTTGTCCTTCTAATAATATTGATAAAGTATGGGTATTGACAATGTGCCAGGAAAAGAGGCTACAAATATTTGAGAAAAGGATTCTACTGAGGAGTGTGATGTGTCCAGGAAAAGATGGGTACACAGGACTGAGTGATCCAGAAATAGAGAGGCTTAAACAAAATATAAACACTGGTATCTAAAGTCTAATCAGGACATCTCAGGTGGGCTGGAAAAATCTTCTGAGAGGAGAAAGAAAGGCTAATCAACAAGTTACTCCAAGCAGTTCCTGGAAGTCCAAGATTGAATATGATGGAACAGCCCGAAACGGTACTCATCACGTCAAGCAGAACTAGTGCTATTAGCAATGCTATATTTTATGGTCTGTAGCCTATAAAATTAGAATAACTTTGATAAATACCTTATATTTCTTTATTAGTTAACATTAACATTAATGCCAACATTGTATCCTTAAATCCATCAGGCTATCGACATTATTTGGATTTGTAACAGTAGTATGAAATATTCGCCATACTCCTTAATCAAAAACTCAAAAGTAATCAGAAAAATATATTGGATTGGATTATATCTTCTCTTTTAGACAGATTCTCGAAAAGACAAATGAATTCGATGTCAATCTGCACCATCTCTTTGTTAACTTTAAACAGATACACAATAATCAACAAAAAAAAAAAAAGAGAGAGAGAGAAAAAGTAATTAATGAAAGAAAGCCTGTGAATTCTTAGACAGTTTAACAGATTAATAAAAATGGCACTTGCAGATACTAGACGTAAGGTTAAAATCAAAAAGCAATAATTTCTGAATGAATATGAAGACCTCAATAAGAGTGACCATGGTGAAACCAGAAATATAAGTTGGTCAATATATCTTTAGGTTTATGTTCAATGAAATTGAAGTAAAATATTTAGGAGAGCTTGTTATAGAAAAAAAATGAACTAATACTAGAAATAAAAGCAGGACTGGCCGTAACAGATGTTTCTACATTCTACAGAGTCCACTAAAGTTTAAGGTTTAATACCACAATTAAGATCCTGATATACAATACAGTACAATACACCAAAAGTGGCATATGGTTGGGAAATCTAAGCACTTATCAAGAAAACAACAAAGGTTATTGAATGTATGGAAACAAAAAGTACTCAGAAGAATAAATGAGCTTGCCTGTGAGGCTAGACACTGAAGATTGAATTAGAGTGAAAAACTTCAAAGCATGTTCCAGAAACAAGATTTAGTGAAATTAAAGTGAATGAAACATGTCAAAAGAATGCCCTAGAGTAGACTCCATGACAAACTTTTAGATAGTAAACCAGGAGAAAGCTGAAAAAGAGGGCGACCATGAAATAGTTGGAGAGATGATGTCAAAAATATTCTTAAGAATTTAGGCATAAAAAGGTGGAGGAGATAAGCCCTAGACAGAGAGGAGTTGGCAAAATTGTAAACATTGGCCCCAATACTTGAGAACCTTTGAGCCATATAAGGTGAGAACAGAGCCCAAACCACTAAATTCTATATATTTTATTAATATTGAAATAAATTCAGTAATAAACTTCAAAACATGGACTGCTTTTTAAAAAATAAATAAATGTATATAGAAAATATTCCAATGCATGCTTTAAAATTCAAAAAGTGGTGAAATACACTACATTACAATAATCACTAAGGAAAAGGGGAGAAGCTAGTGTTTTAACACACAAATAAAAAAAAGATAAAGGTGGTCTACCTTGAATTAATCTGTCCCTTCATAACAACTACAGGAGGTGGTTTATGGTGGGAGCCAGGTTGTAGGCCAGCTGGGCATTCGGCACCTTCTCTTGTAACAAGAACAAGGCGCCGAGGAATAGACATGATGATAACAACATCGTCGAGTGACATTCGTGTCACATCCACAAAATTGACCGCCAAGATTTCATCTCCAACCTAATCCAAGCCAATAAATAAATAAAACTCTTCAATTAAGTACAACTGTATAGAAAGTTATAAAAAAAATAACTAAACAAGCAATCATATAAAAAAATAAGAAACTCTAACTTAATAACTCTTTTCTTACATTTTCAATTCTTCATAATTATAAAAACCAATATTGCTCTTTAAATGATAAGTTACCAACCTTAAGACAACCACTGTTGTACACAGATGATTCAAGGGCTATCCTGGATATGAAAACTCCATCTGACCTATCAAGCCCATTGCCTTCTCGGATATAAAGCCCTAGAGTTTGCCCAGGTCTCTTCACGATTTCAACAAGCCTCACATGTTTTGAATCCTAAAAAATATTACAATCCATAAAAAATAAATAAAGATCTTGATTAAAAGCTAAAAAAATATTTTGATTGTAATTACTTTAAAATTTCGTTTTCAAATGTTTTAAAAAATTAAATCAGAAAGATAAAGGAACACAAATTAATTTTAAAATTAGTTTTAAAAAGAAAAGAAGAAAAAATAATAATTTACAACTGTTTTATTTAATAAAAATAGTTTCCATTACTATCAATACATTTCTGCCAACATTTTGGCAGCTTTTTCATTCTCTCGAAATAGAATTTACCATCTTTAGAATTGATAAACTCCAAAAATGCATGTTATAATTCCCTTTGTCAATTAAATTTTTTGTAAATTAGTAGTAGTCCAGGTGTCTAAAAAAATGATAAACCGTTGGTGAGAGGTCCAGAAAGTAGGTTGTATGTGGCAGAGTTTCATATCAAAGCTCCAACCAACAGTTTTTGTGATGTCACACGTGAGACATGTGGCCGGAGCTTGTCATGGAACAAAATGTTCTCCTTCCTATTGACCAAAGATGGCTTCTATATAGCCAATTTCAGATGCATTGCATTAATTTGGTTACAATATGATTCGGCATTGATGGTTTTCCAGGATTTAAGCAGCTGTAGTGTACCAAACCAAATGAAACCCACCAAACAGCAACCATCACCTTTTTCGATGAGTAGGGTGCTTTATAAAATGTTCTGCTGCTTCTCCTTTGTCGAGCCGCTTTCCAAAACGTCTGTCTACTGTCATCATAAATTATCCACTTTTCATCACAAGTAAAAATTTTAGACAGAAAAGGGTCGTTTTTATTTTGGCAAAGAAGTGTAGCAGAACTTCATAATGCTGTTTTTTTTTGGCAGTCGTTTAATGAGTGCGGAACCCAACTTTCAAGCATTTTTACTTTTCAAATCACCTTGAGGTGGTCATCGACGGTCGATTTGCTAAGGTTAAGTTTCCCTGCAAGTTCTCAAACAGTTTTTCTGAGGTTTTCTTCCACCAAAGTCTACAGAACAAAGTCATCAAGAGAGGAAGTCCTTCCATGGACCTTCCTTGTCGTCCAGACTCACAAAATTTTTTGAACCACCGTTGAACAGTGCACTAATTAATGCTGCTCTCGCCCAAGACTTGATTGATGTTTCTGGCCGCCTGGACCCCATTCCGGCCATGTTTAAACTCGTAAAACAAAATTATACAAAAATCATATGCTAACATCTTAGTAAAGAGTGAATTATTTCTAAGCAGCGAAATGCTATAGAGGTAAACAAACATTATCATTTGGAAGAGGATTGATAAGTTCATTCAATATAATATAATATAAACAATCCAGTAAACATAAACAGTTTGTCATATATAGGGGTAGATGTTTTTAAAAAAAATCAAAATCCTGCATTTTTTTCTAGACAATCCAATAGGTTAATGCTTGTTCATTTTATTCATAAAGAGGAGATAATTTTCTAAAACTATGATCCTCATATCTTTTTTAACAAGCTATCTGTGCTTTACAAGTAATAATTTCAAAAATAAGATAATTACTCATATTATGCTAAAAATTTTCATGCTGATTTTTCCAAATTTACTATTATTATTTAAAAAAAAAAAATTATATTTTGTTTTTACACTGCATTAAAAGCATTATCAACAGCACCATAGGCTGTTCACCAATGTGTATTTGTGGCCTTTCAAATATAGTATAAAGTGGTAATTCAATTTCTGGGAATACATGCAGGACTGGAAAACATCTAGTCTATGGGCCAGCACCACTAACATGCACCCCCTCTCCCTCTACATCCTTATAAATTGCATATTATTGTGTTCTTTTTAACTATGTGTTATTTAAAAAAAGCCAATGTTCCAACAGAAAAAAAGTGAATTCACTGCCCTAAAATGGCATCCAAACATAGCGGAATGATGACTTTGAGTTTAGTTAGTTTTTGGGTCACTGAGAATCAGCATTTGGCTTAATTTCGTCATAGTTGGTCTTTTATTAAAGCTGGACAGTCACAAAATAATAAAACATGAAAAAATATTTTTTAAAAACTGGCTTAGCCAATAAAAAATACCAGTAAAATCAATTTTTTTAACAAAACAATTTTAAAGTTGAAAATCAAGTGTTGTTTGTAATTAAACAGCCAACAATAACGGGAAACGTGCTGAAATAAAACATCTGGAGAATATATTTCTCTTTCTAAAACACTGATTCCTTTTTAAGATATTTGAAGCAGATCCGTAGAAAAAATGTACTTAAGCAGCAGAAAAGCGGTACTGACGTAGATGCCTACAGGCCTCTACCACACCATTCAGTACTCATAAATAGTATTATAATAACATTTTTGGTTCATTATATTGATTGTATTAACGAACAAATATTAATGCAATAATTTAATTGTCCAAAAAAATTAAACAATTTTTTTTTTGATTTCTTATCATTATTTTATTATTTTTTTTAACTTCCTTTATTCTATACGGAGGTTGTTGAAGAACGGTTTTATTGAAAAAATGATATAATTATAATAATAAAATTTAATTAAAAAATACTTTGGTGAATATCTTGAATTTTTTACTTAACGTTTGCAATTTAACACTTTGTTGTATTGTATATGTGTAAATTGTATATGTTTTAGTACACATTTGATATTCAAGAAACAATTGAATTATTACTTATTCATATTTAATGATGGTACCTGTGACTGCAACCAGGGCCTAGCAGCCTGAGCAGCAGCATGACCGAGGCTCTTAGTGTCAAGAAGACGAACAAGCATCTCCCCTCGTTTGTCAACAGCTTCCACTCCTTCTGTTGAATCATTCTCTATTCTTTCAAGCTGGCGAAATATCTCACTTGAAATACCACTGACCTGTAAAAAAAATTAATAAATACCATTAAAACTTCATTTAAGTCAATTTCAATTTATGAAATATAAAACAATTGGAATGTTCAAAAAGTACTTAAATCAATTTATTGATGTTACATCCAAAGTGGAAAATGTTTATTCTTTAAATTTTCGAAAAAAATATGTTTCTTACTTTATTGCTTCTTCTTCCTCGGCACTACAGTCCACGAGGGACCTGAGTCACTCCTTTCGATCTGCTGCGGCAGCTCTCCACTGCCTGACACCAAGTCGTCTCAAATTCGCCTCTATGTCATCTATCCACCGGAATGGTGGCCTGCCTCTCCTTTTTCCTCCTCCTGGTTGTCTATACAACACTTTCCTTGACTTACTTCCCGTGCCTTCCTTGACATACCACGGAATTTAAGTATCCACTGAAGGGCAAAATAGCATCGGTTTCCTGCAGCTATCCTGGCACCAATTTCAGCATTAATACTGTTACCATCTATTATCAAGAAGCCAAACTCCCTAAATACTGAGAAATTATGGGCTCCGATACTTATTGTTTCATTGTTCTGAAATGGATGACGTCTGCTACTCTTCATGTAGGCAGTCTTATTTTCGTTAATGCGCAGACCCCTTGCCTCTGCTGCCACATCAAACTCCTCTAGATCTCCTGCCAGTGCTGGCATGGATCTGGCAACAATCTCCATGTCGTCTGGATATGCAAGATGCTATGTGAAGAGTTAAAGATAGTGCCTCCTGGGTTTGTTCTGATAGTACGCACAGCTTTTTTCAAGCTCATATTAAAAAGCGTGGTTGTCTTTGCATCTCCTTGCAAGATTCCTGCCGTTATCTGGAATCCCTCAGATAGCACTATACTGCCGGATAGCTTATTGCTATATGATCCAATAAACCATTTAAACTATAAAGACTGTAGGGATTAAGCATTTGTTCCGATATATATTATAGATTGATATTAATTCCTCATTTAAGAAGATATAACCAGTTCTGCAGGAAATATGCACCAGTAATATCAAGTGAAAAATACAAAAGTGTGGATGAGATCAATTTCAATTGTTTAAAGTAGATATTATATTACAAATCAGATAAGTTTTAGCGGCTATTTATTTTATTGCCTGAGAACGTGAGTTTCATTATATAGATATTGCATTAACTAAATTAGTCAGCTGATATTTAAAAACAGATGGAGTGTCCACAATGGCGAGGGTGATCCTAATTTGATTAAAGCCCTCTTACTGATACCTTACCCATATTCCACCAATCTCAAATGAATCTACAGCTAGATAGTAGGTCGGTTCTCTTCAAATCAGTGAAATGGTTGGTTAAAAGGTATTTAAGCAGGATACAGAAGGGAGTTTTATGGCGCAAGCTGCGACATGAAAAATTTTGAGGGGACACATTTTGAGTAAATTTAGAAATTTCCAGGGAGGTACATTTCGACGGAGTCCATGGCCGAATGGACTAAGTTGTGTGCACTGCACCACCGTTACCCGGCCTGATACATGAAATAACTAGACAAAAATAGTCACGAGTTCGCGGCTCGGAGCCGGGAGAGTCTTTTAAATCCCCGCCCTCATTCCCTGGCCCGGAAAACCCCGTATAGCCTTAAAGGAAAGGAAGGGGAGGGCCCAAAAAAAGAGAAAGTTTTCCCCTAACAGCCCGTTATTACCTACAAATATATAAATATAATGGAAAATGATACCGTAACCTTCTAATTTATGTACATATTTAAAATATTTTCTTAGTAATATTGAAGGTAAATTAAAAACAAACAAATAACAGTTTTATCTTGGCTTTCGACCGTGAGCTAAGCGATGATCGAAAACTCTTTATCAAGAATTCGTTTTGACTTTGGCCTCATTAAATGAGAGGATAATGGGGAACGCATCATCTTCAATTAGCTAGGATGAAAATTACACTCATTTTTCAAGTTTTACTGATGAGAGAATATTACAAGGCACCCCTGGGTTGCCTTGACAATGAGACAATGACCTCACCATCACACTAAGCATCACAGGCGGATCTACGGGCAGGGCTTTCCGGCTGAAGCCTCCCCCAAAATGGTAAAATATAACCATGTTTTATAGAGAAAAATATTAAAAACTATCTCTAAAACTATTATTGTTCGTGTAATTACATTTAATAGGACTTCAAGAATCACTAAGACACCATGTCATATGATATAAGTTAGTTACTTTATTTTTATTTTCATATTAATTATCGTTATATAAATTTTAAAAAAACTCCTTCGGGCTGAAGCCCCCCCCAAAATTAAATCCTGGATCCGCTAGTGCTTAGCATAAGTCCACTTGACAAGACAAAAGGAACTGAAAGGGATATTTAGGCTAGGGGCAGACTGAAGAGACTAACTTGCCTAGGATAAATAAGATTGTTGGCCGGAGACAGTTCTTAGGGTAGGGCGCCAGAAAACCTGGAGCAACCTCTGGGGTTTACAAAATTTGTAATTAATCCAATATCTAATAACAAAATGTAGAATTTTATTTTTTAAAAAAAGGTATACATGAGCGTGGCACATCATACATGATTTAAGTTTATTAAAAATGAATAAAATGTCCTATGACTTGTTCATCATTGTTTGATTTGGGTTGTTAATTATATTATCTATGAATAACAGAGACTTATACAAACATATATATATATATATATATATATATATATATATATATATATTGCATTACCTAAATGGTTTGCTGATACTGAAGGGAACCCCAATCTCAGAGTAATGTAATGAAAAAATGCAAATTAATTACCTTCCTGAAGTCAGGTTGCACAACCATCGGAGGAGGTTGCTTAGAATTAGGCTGCCTCCTTGGGGAAGTTGCGAGATCTGGTGTAGCCTCTCGCCCGCTCTGAAAAAAAATAATATATATATATAGCTTAACAATTCAGGAAGAATGTTCTCATGTTTGGATAACACTATATAATTTTACATACTTTGAGAATATCTACAAATTATTGTCCATATTTAGTCAATAAAAAATGCCCAGAATTTTTGAAGGGGGCACATTTTGACAGTGTTATGAATTTTCGGAATGAAAAGTTTTATTCTAAGGTACAAGGAGAAAACATGGCAAACACCGGAGTAAATATATTCCTGTATGATCTACGATTTTTCTAATTCTATCTTCGCTTGCTGTTTTTAAGAAAATATGAGCAACAAAAGATCTTGGGAGTGGGGGAAATAGGTTCTTGCGCCATTGACCTTGGGGGGGGGGAAGGGGAGATCGGCACCCCTGCCTGCTACACATTCGAACTTCCGTCAGCTTATAAGAATTTTTAGGCTATGTAAATACAATTGCTCACCAATAGATAAATGATAAGAGCTTTTTTATCTATGTTATTCTCTGTATTTTTTGTATATATCTGTATCTTCTCATAGTATTTTTTGTTTATATCTGTATCTTATTTACATGCTAGACTGAAGTATATATTTTCTGAATTCTGTTATTATCCTAAGGGGACTTTATTTCCAGAATAAAATTAACTTTTCATTCATTTCATTCATTCTTTCATTCATATAGGTAGCGTCCGACCTATCAAGAGGTCAAAGATCACTTGCTAACTTTATGATCAGAGAAAAAGAATAAATCAGCTTATGAGGATTTGAAATTAAACAAAATATATGGTGGTAAGCCGACAAAATCATTGCTACATCATTCCGTAGAAAATTCATCACCCACAGTAAACAGATTTACATACCTCGGCTCGACAATAACCTAATTAAATTATCAGCTACCAGAGATAAACCAATGTATAGCAAACTCTAACAGGGCTTTCTTTTTTATTACAAGAGTAAGACTCCAAAAATGTATATAAATCTTAAATTAAGGGTGTACACATAAAGTATAGAATGAACTAGAGTGAGCATGGAGAGAAGAGGGATGTGTTCAGGTACCCACCAACGCTCCTCCGCCGAAGGGGGGTTTTCCTCGCTTTTATCCATAGCTTAATATTGAAACCATCTCATTATCTTAACATTTATTTATCTGTAATCAAAATGTATTCTTTTAACAGAGTTGATTCTATTTCATAAAATGAATGGGAGCGTATATTTGGTTTTATAATCGGAAAGATGAAGAATATATTCATCGGCAAATTATTAATAATGAAATGCCGTTAAATCTTTTTTTTAAATTGCTATTTATATCCACACTCGAAATATCTTAAAATCAAGTACATAATCCGTTCTTTCCTACGATTTTTCAAAAAGAACCAAAAGCCAAAAAATATTTAGTACGTGACATCTATAAGATTCTACATACTACATACTCCTTTTATTTATTTATTTTTTCCATTACACCACAAGTAATCCTAAGATTTTATTTTATCTTAGTGTCTCCATATTATTATATAAATCACTGTAGATATTATTACATTCTGTATTAAGTTAGTTTTCTGTTAGATAGCCTATTGTTTATAAATTGTGTATATAAATATGTATATATAAATATGTAATTTCTCTTTTTTTCTTTTAATCACAATTAAGTAATTTTGAGATTTTATGTTCATTTGTATATTTATTTTATTTTTTACTGGTTACATACTTTTTAACTAATGTATATAATATTAAAATTTTTAGAAGTTATTTTTTGGCCAGATTTGTACTTTACTTTGTATTAACTCATCATTGTTATTCTAAAGTGACTTAGTCCCAGAATAAAGTTTAATTTTCTATTCTATTCTATTCTATTCGAAGAGATAAAATCCCCACATATATTATTACAGTAAGGCTCGAAATCGGTTTTGTACCAAATATAAGCTCCTGTCATGTTCAAATACCACGAATGGTGTACCGTTGGATTCAGAATTTCACGGAGGGTTAGCGAATCGTATTCTCTTCTTTTGTTTTTCTTTCTAAATTAAATAAAGTCGATACAAACATTTTGCTAGGCTTCTATACTGGAACGGTGGTAGGTCTGTAGATCGATACGGGACAAATTGGGTCTTGATGATTTTGATGGGTATAGCAAGACCCTCCGGAACTATCGGATCCTGCGTTTTTAAGCTCAAAAACGTACTATTTTCGAGATATCGCAAGAGATAGAGTTTGCATCCACACAAACTTACGTTAATTAAACTGTCATTGAATACATGTCTCATTTCGTCGACTTGAGGTCTCTATGATCGAGAGAGGAGGAGTTTATATTATTTATCAATAGTGTTTTTGATCGGCAAGCCATATCATCGCCAATTTTTCACCAAATCTCAAGATTGAGCCACCAATTTCGAAGGCTTCCTTCTCCTTCAGGCGGACAAAATAGTCCAAACACTCCGAAAATTTAGGCAAACAAGTTATGAAAGAAAACAAACTTTATTTGCGAATAACTAAAAAATTACACATTTTTCCCTTGGTTATGCCCATGATTGTATAAAAGATTACTAAATTCCCTTAAAAAGGAAAAAAAGAATCATCGAAATCGGATAATTTTTAGCAAAGATACAGCTTATTGAAATTTGTAAACATGTTGGTTCCAAACATTAATGATGATTTAAATTAATTTTTTTCCCTGATTGTTTGTTTGTGTCTAGGCGCAAAACATCCAGTTCATAAGCGCCCGATCAAATAAATAACACCACTTAATACTGTTTGGATGGTTGGTTCAAAAAAAGGATAAAAAAAAATAAAGTAAAGTATTTTTGTTTCCTTGTTATTGCCTTATTTG